ATTTAGTGAACCCTGAACTTAGTGCCACAATTTTTTTTCGAAAAGTCTCCCTCCATTGTGTTCCCAAGGGGAATCCTGATTTATTCTGTCAATTGACTTAGTGACGTAAGTCCTGAATTAAAATTGGGCCCAAAACAAAGAAATTAAGGTCTGTTTTTTAGATACTAATAATGTATGTCACTAGATTTTTACGAAGAATCAAGCCATTGGTCAAGATAATCTTTAAAATTATATTTCCGAATTCATATTTTATCGGATGACAGTATTTGGATGTCCTCTACAGTGATGAGCATCTTCATAACTGGGATATTCTCTTCAAACATAAATTAATTTTATCTCATCTTCGAATGATGCGCTTTCATTGAAAGGTTGATAAGACACTTTTTAGAACAGGTCTGATGAGCTTTTGATTGACATAATACTGTACCATGCAGAAATTTGAAATTTTTTGTATTTTTAAATTAATTGAAAAACGTATGAAAACAGTGCGTTGAAGTGTCGAATTGTTTTTTAACTTCTTTTATAAAACAGAACAATTCTGAAAACACGCAAATGTTGCCTACCTTTGAAGCCACTCAATTAAACCTTCCTCTCACATACAATACATTATGTCCGATTTAGTGCCATCTTTGCTTTGTAGCCACACAATTTATAACTAAAAATTATGGCCTGAAATCAACGTTTGACTGCATTTTTAACATTGCGAATGTGATTTACTAAAACTACCATGCTCGGATAAATCTTCTAGAAGTAAATTCATTTTCAAGTAAAAATTGGTACCATTACTGTATTTAAAATATGAAATATGATGCAGGTGTATTTAAACTTGTATTCAAAAGCAATCCTGTAGCACTTCCATCAGGGTCCCAAAAAAACAGCGCTTCATTGCTCTTGGTTTTTTTCTAATGTTTGAAGATTGGTGAGAAGAAACAAATATTTGCCTTCTTTGTGAATCGTTGAGCGGAGTACCCAGGGACATCGACTGATTTAATTTCTTAGCCCTCAGTTCAGAATCAATTTTCGAATCAGTGTACTGAACATTTGGTAGTCGAATGGGGTTGAAAAGTCCCGTTGTTGGAGATTGTGTTTCGGAATGGACGTGATTGTGAACCTGCACCAACTTCACGTTGGGAAATGACGCATTAATGAGTCGTAAAATCCCATTAATGAGGTGGACATCGTGCAATGCTGTAGTTTCAAGAACTGGAAATTGGTTCCAGCAATCAATTTCTATACTCTACTGTACTTGTTTATATAAAGATTTATTCTGTCGATGAAAAAAATATTATTCTTTCTAAAAAATGCATGACGTGGACGTGCGAAGAACATTCAAGTTGCTGAGCACATTTTTAAAATTCAAGTTTCCTTTCACGAACGGGATTCTCATTGAGAAGTATTAAAAATTCATATTTTGCAAAATCCTCGAGGAAATTATTGCTGGGATCAAAGAATGGTTTTCAGCAACGCTCACATAATGTTATTCAATGAATATACTGTATTTCAAGATGGTGTATCGTAGAACAAATACCTATATTGAAATTATGTGCATATTGTTTCACAAATCTTGAACATTGATCCATAAGATTAAAATTAGGAAGCCCTTCGTTCAGATTCATATCTTATTTAGTCCGCGGGTTTGTGTTGTACCACGTGAAAGAGAAGAACCCATTTATTTCCCGACGAATCTTTTTTTTATTTTTTTGCTGACAGCAAATTTAAATTTGTAAACGTGCTGCAGATCAGAGTTTATACCTATGAGAATCGAAGTTACAGTAATTATGATCGGCCACAAAACGGATCCGCAGGTTCTCCTCGCCTGGGGCACCCTCTGGGGATTTCCAAAGCAGTTCTACGTCATAAATGCGTTCCAGGAAGTAACTGGACAGGCCCACCGTCAATTCGTCTTTGTTTCTTGTCTCAGTCTCTAGTAAGAATAAAGAAAATATCCTCGCTGCAATAAAGAAGAAAAATCCTTCGGGAGTCGAGTGATAATCTCGAGGAGATTGCCGAGCACTTGGTTATAGGATATACTTTGTTGTTACCAAACGTATAAACTCGGAATAGAGATTAATTCCTTCTTTTTCTTTCTTTCTTTTTTTATTTTGAGGTGGGCTCGTAGATCACACACAGCAAGAGGCTTGTGTATTCGGGGAATGTTACATCAAAACATAGGAGTAAATAAGAGACTTATCTCGTATGCCATATAATAATTAAAATTTCTAAGACTACTGAGAACTATTTAAAAGGGGCGCTTGTTTTAAGTACTACTCGCGCAATGTAAAACATTGCGCTCGAGCTTTTTTTTTATTCAATAAAGTTTCAGTTTACTGGATTCTTGAGCAGGTGAATTTTTTCGCAATACAGTTTACGTTTTTCGATGAAGTGCTACCTCAGGAGATCTAAGTGTATATTAACAATACGAATTCCAACAATTCCATGTTTCAAATTTCTCTCGCAATATTCAAAGCGATTCGAGAGAAAAGGTCGAAAAAATGCTCAAATACAAATCATCGTTTTTTGTTCCATAAATTGAAATGTGGTGACTTTCAAACTTCAGGCAAATTTAGGCCGTGATTATTGAGGCTGTGCTATCATTCATGAAAATGGAATACGGTAAAATCTCGTTGTATCAAATAAAGTTACCGCAACATTTTCAGTATTAAGAAATTGTTCGTTAGTCCTGGAAAAAAAGCCTATGAAGTACATGCGGAGAGAATCTCGGTATAACCCACTTCAAAAATGCCAGTGTAACAAAACGTTTCTGAGAATCTTTAAAATATTCTCCGCCTGTAATGAATGACAAACATGTTTTCAAGAGGATCTACACAGTATATAGAGAAGGAAGAAATATGTGCAACTGAAATTGAAAAGCACGATTCCAGCTATTTTTTTAATCACTCAGTTTTTCAAACAAAGATAAAAACTAAGAAAATTTCCAGAAAAAGCAAGATCTAATTGATTATGTAAGCAGGTTTGATATTTTTTCCTCAATAATTAAAACTTTTAGATATCCTTAAGATTAATAAGTCATATTCTTATAAGAGGACCTCAGGGGTCTTCAAACAAAATTGCTCTAAACTGACATTTATATTGTTCTGTGTAGAACTAAGAAACAGTCGGGAAGGTTTGAAAACTGTTGAATTCTTATTAAAGGAAAGTATTTTCTATATACAGTACTTCAAACAAAATTGGGCTGCTTCAACAGAAGCAAGGCGTCCCTGTTGACTCTTGAGCATTAAAATACCGATTGCCGAAGTCACTGATGTCGATGACGGTGAGGAAACGACTGTCGATGTAGACCCTGTTCACCTTGGGACAGTAGTAGTCTAAGTAAGCTGGACTCTTTTTGTACAGCAAGCAGGTTTCCTTTTCATTCAGGACCTGTTGGTCATCCTGCTGAGGTCACAGTTAATCCTAGTTTCTTACCTAAGGTCCCCATTTTAACCCCTTTTTTACATGCTTAATGTTTTTTTTTTTTTCCTCGAGAACGCAGAAGGGGTGGTTGTAAGACTGGGTCGAAGTCAAAGGCTCTCTGTTGCCTTCCTTTGCCTTCAAGGACGAAGGGCACCAAGAACACTACACATAGAAATAAATCAACAGTTAATATACCGAGACCCAGTTTTGATACGTACGTGTCTGTCCCAGTTTCCGGTTCCGAGGAGATTCTTTTTTAAAGTTGCAGACGGAATTGTGACTAACAATCATCAGTCATTTATTGAGGAGCCTATCCATTGAATTTCTATTTGGAAGAACATATAAAAAAGTGACTCAATCAATCCTTTTTCTGAGAGGGAATTACTCTCATGTTGTGTCCTTCCTGTGAAATTAGATCACGATATTAGTTCTAACTCGTCCCTTGTGCAAATTTTCAAAAACACATTCAACACCCCTTTTGTTTCGGAAGAACTTCGTGATTATGATTTTGGGTTATTTTCAAGATTTAAAGAGAGTCCTATTAAAGTATACAGTACATTGTAATATGTCCTTGTGCGAACCTCATTATGAATGCTTTGGAAATAATTAATTGCAGTAAAACGAACGCTGCATCTTTGAATGAAGATTTTGGATGCTCTCATTGCAGAAAAATTACGCATAATACAGGTGGACTGTCACTAAAAAAAAAATCTCTCTTCAGCGGATTTTTTCTGGTCCCTTGAATTCCGTCAAAATTCAAGAAATTCGTTGAAATTTATTTTCGACGAAATTCGAGGGACCCGAAAAAAATCGTTGTTGAGAGCATTTCATTGTAGAGAACCTTAATAACAGGGGAAGAGAACTCTCTAACGAAACAAAAAAAGGTTGAACCGAAAAAATCGATGCAGACAAGATCGTCGTAAAGAAAGTCCACCTCTAAGTTCATGAATTTCACATGGAACGCTTCAAAATATATTTCTTTTTGTTATTGAAACTTACCGGATTTTTTCGGGATCCACAGAGTTTTTAGAGTTCAAAGTCGGCAAAATTACCCACACGAGGTTGATCATAATTTAAGAATTGTGAAGAAAAAGTCTGTTAACTGTTATGTTCCTAGATATTGTTCCTTGAACGTTCACGCCAAATTATGAGGAGGTGAATCATAATTAGTGAGAAAATTATCCCAGTCGGACAGATTGATCGTTGAACTTTGAAAATTATGACACTTAATTGTGCTAGTTTCGTTCATCAGAATGAGGGCTTGAAGGGCGGGTGCTGCACTGAAGAATATGTCGTTTTTTCCTGATTTCTTGTACTGCACCAAAACAACAACAAAAAATTTCATTTCCATCAATCGAATTCCCGATGAAACTCTTTGCTGAGAAATTGGTCATGTGCTTTGTCTGTTCCGAGGAAATAGACAAGAGGAATGCAGAGATCGCAGAAAAGCCCTCGTCTTATTCCTCTTATTTGTTTTTAAATTTCTTTTCGTTGTTCCAATCGCGTCAATTCTCCCTTGATTCGAACCCTCCTCTTACGAAATACGTACCATAAACTCTACCGTATACTGCATATCTGGATAGGCAATGATCTCAGATAAAAAGACGTGCTCATGGGAGTCGCCCTTTTTCGGCGACCCCGATCAGTGCGTCGACGTCGACGTGCGTCGGCGCATGAGCGAGGAGTTCGTGCGAGTGCAGACGCCGCCGGAGTCCCAGTCGACGTCGACACCGTCACGTCACCATCCCCATCATTTCGCCTCTCACCGATCCTCGTTCGCCTCCAAACTCAAGGACGCCCGTGCAGCCGCCACCGAGGCCCGGTTCAAGCACTTGAATCGCATCAAGAAGTTCTGCGCCGAGCGGACGATCCTCATCGTCATCACCGTGGCGTCATTCGGCGCCGCCGCCTTCCTCGTCGTCATGGGCCTCAACGCACGCGCCGAGTTGCCGTCGGACGCAGGCATGAGTCACACCAGTGGCATAGGTGTCGCTGCTGGCACAGGAGCACTAGCAGCCGGGCACAGGGGCAGCAGCAACGCGGGAGGGGCGGCAAAGGCGGCAGCGGGGGTGTCAGGGCTGGGGGGTGACGGGATGCCCACGGCCGCCGTGGCGGCGCACCAGTTCCCGCAACAGAGCGTCGACTTGCGTTTCCCTGGCGCACTCGACGGCATGGCGCCGCCCGGCGCCGCCCTCGTCACTCGTGATCTTCCCAAAGATTCCCTTATTGTCGACCAGTCTGTCATCATTCCTGCTGGTGAGCTCAACACCCGCAGAAAAAACAAAAGAGAACAAACGAAAAAACACTGCGACGATGCCGGAAGCCACTTCCGACATGTCACAATTACTGTACAATCATTTTTGTTCTTTTTCGTATACACTATATTTTTTTTTTTGCAACGCTAAAATAAAAGCAATACGTTTCTCGCGACTGCATACTGCGTAAACTGTACGCTCCTCATCAGGAGGCTGCACCGCAATTTTGGGCAGTCAGTATAATGTTGAAGGGACATTAATGTGTGTATATTAATTAACTGGATTTATGCGTCAATCAACCGCATTTTCTTTGGAAGAAAAGAAAATGCGAAGAATGCGGGGACGGATTTATTTGCGATATTCACGTATACCGTATTGGGTTGAAAATCAGTCCCATCTATCTGATTCCAAAGATTTTGATCGTGAAGAAAAAACAAAGGAGTGCATTTACTCTACAAGAGTACAGTAAAAATTTACCCACAACATGATAATTTATTATAATTATGCGCACTTCTGGTGGTGTTCAAATATTTGTATGCCTGAAGATTGCTGCTATTGTAGTATTCAAGCATCGGTAAACCGAAATTTGTTTGTGGGGGTTTTTGGCAGTTCAACAAGGTTCGCGGTTTAATGATATTGGTGGTTTTATCAAACAGTCAAAATACTGAAAACTGCAATATATGCAAATAAGTATTATTTGAAACGAAATTAGTATTCTTCCAGAGAACAATACAAATAACCCTGGCATCGGGTAACATGAATTATATCCAGCTAATGTTCCCAAGAAGTAAATTACGTCATCAGTTATTTTTGTTGTTGTTCAACTGGAGTCCTCTTGAGTCTTGACACAGAAACTTGAATCATGTTGGATGAGTGCGCATTGAAGACAACAATAATTTACAAATACCCACTTGAGTTTTGTCCAAAATGTTGGCAGTTTGCGCTCGGCTTTTTAAGTGGGTTTCCTATGTTATACGTACATTTATCATTAGGGAAGGTTTGTTTTTCAAAATAAATTACTTGTTGCCAAGGCTGACGGCTTATGTTGGGGTGTCTTAACAGGGCTTGACGCTGATATTTCTATTAAAATTATTGCATTTTTTTCTGTGCGGAGACAGCCTTTATCGAAACAAATTTCTAAACTCATCGTGGCATGTGCAGTTTTTCGCTTAAAATGTTGGACAAAATACGTGAAGACCTATAATGAATCACACAAAAATGTGCACGTCTTACCGAAGACATTCGGCCTATGCCCGGGTAAAAACCTATTCGTGTTCGAAAAACTAAAAGTTCGGGTTTCACAGTTTTCAAATATACAGCAAATGCAGATTGGATATAATCCCTTTAGAATACATAACAAGAAACCTTTATGTTTCAATATACAGTACGTGTGTGAAGTAAGTGAGAGTAAGGTTTATTGCACTTAATTCCTTTCGATTTTTGATTATACTGTATCTTGTGTTCTACGGAGTATTGGTCAATTTAATTCACATTCTAATAATTTTACAGCCTCGCGATGCCATTTACCGTGATTCATGATTTCTGTGACAGGTTTCCTGGAGTGTGGTTACCCTTTCCCATGATGATGAATGAATGATGTGCAGAAAGACTCTTTAAGCTGCCTTATTTGGTATCCACGAGATGAATTGGGTGATTCCGGTTGAGGCTCTGACTCGACAAAAGCGAGCTTCACTAGTAAAGGATCATCCAAATGTTTCTGCAGTTTTTTTTTTTTTACCTACGGAATGAACAAGAAAAGCCTTTACTTGACACTTTTCTGAGCTTTTTTAAAATCTCAGATTAGATTATCTCTTCCGTAGGGGGTTATTTTGTTCACATGATTTCGAAGAGCGAGAAGGGTTCCACATTTGCAGACATTTTTTATTATTCCTGGCTAATATTCTGCGGGATGACAGAAGCCTAAAAATTTTTTGCAGCACCGAGGAAAATTTATTCAAATGACGAATAATCAGCCGAATTATCAGCTGCTTTTTAGAAAGCTTTCCACGTGTTATCCATGCAGAATGAACGATTTGTTTACATCAGGCCATTTCAGTGGTGGTACTCATCAGGCGCCTGCATAATGCCCTCATATTCACACGTGCGTTTTTGAAAGCATTTATGACAAAAATAACTTCGCAATCGAACCAAATGCAGTGGTACACGGATTAATAGACGATCTACGTATTCTATTGCAAATTCCATTTTCCGAGATTTTCTAGATTACATCATAATATGACTTCATGATGCATAATGCATGAATCGGTTCCAGATACTGTTCTTAATTGAGAGACCCTCAACTGAATAAATTGAAGCTGTATGGATTGTCTGATCTGTTCGAGATCCTGTGGACATTTTCTTAATCAATTCCTCAACGCAAGACGAAATTATACATATATTTTTTTACAAATATTGGACATAAAAATATTTGAAAACGCTGGAAAACGAGGGAAAATGAAGTACAGTATGAGTAAGAAAAATTTTAAAAAGCTTCAATCTAACTGAAAGATGATGTTGACAGCCGCGATTCATATTTTCAAGATAATCAGCTTTACGTGAATAAAGTCTGTAATCCAAACCAGGGTCCAGTACCCGGTTTATCCTCGTCAAGCTCAATCAGCATGCGTTTAAATTTGTTCTATAAATACAGTCGGTGAGTACTTGGTACCCATGCAGCAGGTGAGTGTATAGTACACATACACTGCAGATATGTGTGATTTATTCGGACAATCGACGAGAAAAAGATTGAATAACCCTGATCTACTTTATCCGACGCGCGGATTCCATCATTTCATGGACAGTACTTGCGGAGATGATATTGCAACACGAGCTGTCGAAATGCTCTCTCGTAATGTCGATTATTGTTTTTTTTTCTCCTTCATTTTTCACACCGTGGGCTGCGAAATTCAGAAGGATTTTGGCACGAAGTTGGAGCGTGCGCGAAATTGGCAGACCATTTTCGGTTTCGTAACAATCGAACCAAATAAATAGGAGCTTTACTCTTATTCAAGGTTTGAATATTGCATGTGGAATAGAATGAGTGTGAATTCCTAAGGAAAATTGCATCGAAACTTTTTTATCAGTCATTGAATTCTTTGAAGCTGAAAATCGAAGAAATTTTTGGACAGTTTTGGTCTAATTGCTTGATCACATTCATGTCAAGTTTTTATTACGATTCTAAGGAAAATCATCATTATAGAGAAGTCAGACTATTTTTGTTTAACATTGTAAGTTTCCGACGAATTTCTTCAATAGACAAACAGAAATCTGGTTTATACTTCCCTAATAGAACGATGCTACTATTGAAAGCAGGGCGATCTTTTAATTGCTTTTCCGTGTGAATTTCTGAACGAAGCACGCAAACAATGCATCATGAACCAAAGAGTTCGAGATATTTTTTGAATGTCGAATTTTCTTTTTCCTTGATTCTGAAGATGAATTCTTCATGGGGGGGGGGGGTAGACTATACCTTCGAGGGAATTCTTTTGGGATTCGTGATACTTCATGTTTTGGTTTCTCGCCTTCTACAATGTGAAAATGTCATTTTCAGATGAAAAAATCAGAGCATTGCATGGTATCAGGAGATTCTCGTAATACAATATGATGGGTAACCATAGTCATGCAAAACGTAGCGTTTTTATGCCGAAAATTCTGAGTGATCCTGATGAAGAAGCAAGTTTAGTAATCATCATGAAAAGTGGTATACAAATATTTTTATATTTGAAGCTTGAAACATATGTTTTAAAAATTCCTTATATCCCTAAAATATCATCCGAAATACTAATATGAAGAATTCACGTTCCAGAAAACCTCAAAATAGCGAAGTTTACGTGGGATATCTGAGTATAAAATTAGAATATCATCGCGAAGTTGAAACATAAAAAAGTATCAAACAGCACGCAACAATTCTTTGATGCAATGAACAAATTGTCGGCTTTATAAGCATCCTACGGATTAAAAATTTAAGCCGTCATAATAATTTTTGAAAACCCAATTGAAGCATTGCTAGCATTGTGTACAGTGTACAGTAACATGAATAAAGTTAATAGGGCTTTTCACATTTCGAACGTGCATTCGCCCGCTTCTGAACAGGTTCTTTTTCTGGTAAAATTGCAATCGGTGATCACGCTTTATTGACGCCGATCAGTTTTGCTGAGGATCGAAAGAAAATTTGTTGACCAGTTCTAGTATTCGAACCTCTACTAGTTGAATTTCAAGGGACCAGGAAAAAAATCAAGTTCGGGAGGTTTTAAGTTAGGGAAAGACACATTTTTTTAGAGATAGAATTCCAAGAAATTGTACTGGGTAACATTCTGGTCCTCAAATTGCTTCTTCAATGAGGCCTGGGTTCATTTGTACAAGTACAGTAGTTTTCCAAAAGGACCCATAAAATTCGAGCTATGGATGTTTAAGAGGAAATCGCCTTCGAGTCAAGGATGGTTTTACTGCATTGTTCCTGAGGAAATTCAGAGGGGGGAAAGAAAAAAGAATTTAACTTGGGGAGGTTCAACGAGTTATCAAGGTTCAACTGCTGTTCAAACAATCAAAGTTTATTTGAATTATTTTTTTTATTTTCGGGAATCGTGTTGCAGTTGATGCAAGTGGACAGCAAACCCGTCTGCACGCGTCAGCGAGCAGCGACAAGCAGGCGACGGAGTTGCTGGAGCTGAAGGAATGCCCCGAGGCGTACGGCCTGCAGTTGTACCCGCACCCCAAGTACTGCGACCAGTTCTACAAGTGCGCAAACGGCACTTTGACGCTGGAGTTTTGCGAAAACGGACTCTTGTTCGACGGCTTGGGTTCCGTTTACAATTATTGCAACTACCACTGGGCTGTCGACTGCAACAAGCGAGTCAACGACAGTGAGTCGAATCATTATTACTGCATTATTATCGTCGATTCTTTTGTCTTATGTATGTATAGTCGATGATGATGAAGATGTCTTCTCCTCGTTTTACTCTTTTATTTTAAATCAAGAATACAACTTTCATCTCTTGCCGTAGTAATTTTTTACGCGGATTTTCTCACTTTTTTTTTTAGTTCTTCTGCTCGCTGTCAAAATATTTGCTCAGGAATATGACATGGGACATGATTTGAGAACCTGATCTGGAAAAGAGAAATAACTGTGCGAGACAAATAATGTTTACGCTTGCTTAGTTCATCTCACAGTAAAAAAAAATTAAAAAAAGCTGTGTAAGCGCTTCAAATATTGATCTGGACTTCAGATCGAAGGGAATAACAATTTTATTTGAGAACTCGGTGTCGTATTCCATTGTAATGCATCAAATAAGGGATCCTTAAAATTGTCAGAACTGAGATGGATGGAGAAATTCAGTATTTGTATGTCGGCTCAGAGGCTTACATTTTAAAAGAAAGTTTTTTTTAGAATGTCTATAAATATTGTACGGTATATCCGTGTTCGTCTAATTTTGATTCGCCAAGTTTTCTGCGCTTCCAAAAATTTTTACGGCTGACTACTGAAATTATTTTTCGGCTATGTTTAATGCAGTACAATATTTGAAAAATGAGGACAGAGTGGGGCGTTAATTTCACTAATTTTTTGATACGAGATAGTGGAAATAAAGTAGTGTATTTAATTCCGCAAATTTTGATCCTTCTGCTTTGAATCTTTGGATATAAGCTCGAAAGAGCACATTTTAATTGCAACAATATTCCGGAAGTGACCTTGTAAACCGATTGAGTTGAATTGCAAACCTCGGGTATTTTGAAGTCTATTTTGGCATTTAGGCACTCTGATAACTGTTTATGGAAACCCCATCGAAGAGACTACTTTTTGATTCCCTTCTTTGAAAAATAAATGCTGCATTTTTTTCTGAGAAGATTCGTCGTCATGTTTAACAGCCATAATAATGGACGAGCCCAGCTTTTATTTTTAATTGTGCCATTCACATGAATTTGCTGAAGAGGCAATAATAGTACGCTTCACAGCTCGTGCGGATGTTCCTCGTTTTTCTCTGGGATGAAGGAGTTCCAGTCAAAGCACAATCCCACATGAAATAAAATAAAATTTAATTGACATTATTGCGTCCTTGTGTGAAACAAACGTCTGGTTATTGTTTCCTGATGCTGCGAGCAAAACAGTACATTTTACTGCCTTCTGTTTATGCGAATTGCTCGAAGGACACAATTTTCTCTTATTAATGACTTTTTGAGTCGTAGAAATAGAAGTGATTTGTGTTTACCAGTTTTAGATCATTAGCTTCCGTCCAAGCAAGGATCTACGAAAAGGATTTAAAATTTCTATGTGTCTCATATACACGTGACACTTTCATTTTGGATTTTACTCGTTTTGACGCTGTTTGCATTAGACTGATTAGAGTACGATTATTTCATCATTCAATGATTTGCTCGGTCAAAAAATTAAATTTAAATTTACTTGAGGAAATAAACTAAGCATTTAGCGAGGAACCGGCGCGAAATTTCTGAAAATATTTCACCGAATACAAAGGAGAAATATTGTTTACTAAAACGTGCGTTCAAACACGTTATGCTGTAAGTAAAGCGCACATGATGTGTTTCGTTTCCTCGACCATCGTATAGTTGCTGAGCTGAAGAGCCCAGGATGCCCGTACCGGTTTGGCATTTTCCCGATCGACACCAAGAACTGCACGACCAGCTACTACAAGTGTGCCTTCGGGATCCCCGAGGAGCAGGCGTGTCAGGTCGGCTTGGCGTACGACAACAGGATCCACCAGTGCAACTGGCCTGACCTCACCCCGCACTGTGACCCTGAAAGTAATTCTTCGTCTCTTTTTATACGTTCCAGTTCATCCGTGTCGAAATTACGGTACAGTAAAGTACTGTACTTTACGCATTTGCTGAAACATGAATATTTTAAATGGCTCGGGGGGAAAATCAAGGTTTTGATGATACGTTATAAAACAGATTTTAAAAATGGAAAAAGTTTCGTTATAATGGAAATTTGCTCAAACGAAATTAGAATACTATTCTGGTTGGCTATTTGAAGGGGACCAAAAAATGAATAAAATGGTTGCAAGCATAAATTTCTTGTGGCGACCGAGATTCGTTGTGACGATATTTTACCGTATTCTGTCCGAGTCCCAGACTTAGGCATTCAACTAGACATCAATGAAAGAAAGGAAATACACTTAATCTGTTAACCTTTCATCAATTAACCTTTCAACCTTTCACCATGAGATGATACAGTACAAGCAGAAAATACATGTGTAAGAATGGCATTTATTCATTAAAAACTGTTTGTTCCCTGAAATATAGCAACATATCCTTCCAAGCATACTTTCTTTTTTTAATTAACCATTTTAAATTTCTAAAATAAAATAATTTAATTTTAATTTACCTGTACCATGCAGGTAAATTTTCTTCATCAGAAAATTATCAAGCATCTTTCTTGAAGGTTTCTCAATATTGAACAAGTTGAGTTTTCCCACATTGTACGAAAATCTGTAAAATTTGTTTTTTTCCTTGCACACATAATCACGGCTAAAATGCATTATGCTGAGCTCCTGAGCATATAGAGGAAACTCAGTTGGTCATTGAACCCTATGTCAACATTGTCCCAACGAAGAAACTGCTGCCAGGACCAAGAAAAAAAGTGCTGCAACGAGATTTGTCGTAACAGAATTTTAGTGTATTATTTTCTTTGATTTCTTCCAAATGCAGTTTTTAAAATGTATACTGTATATACAAGTCAAACGTCTTTATATCAAATTTCAAGGGACCAGTATAAAAATAAATTCGAGTTGGTGCGGTTTCAAGTTGGGCGGGAGACATGCATTCTATTTCAAAGATAATCCAGACAGGGGCTTGAAAAAAAAAAAAAAAAAATCGACCTGCAAGGGATGATGAGGTATAATGGACTTATGTATACAGTATATAGGGAGGTTCGAGTATTACCCAGGTTCAGCTTATATACGTGATCTCGTTTATTGACTGATATTCGCAGCCATTGTTGGGTTCAGCTGCCCCGAGAAGCTGCCCCCGGGCTCGTTGGCCGTCAAGTTCATGCCGTTCCCCCGCTTCGACGCCGGGCGATGCGACTCCTTGATCGTGTGCGTCAACGGATACCCGCGTCTCATTCGCTGCACCGAGGAGAAGGTCTTCAACAAGCTCACCCTCAGCTGCGATTATCCCGAGAACGTCCCCGAATGGTATTACAATAATACTGTATATCCCATCGCCGAATGAGGCCATTTATCCTTCCGTGTATACACAGTGCTGTACTGTACTGTACTGTACTTATTCGCCAATAACAACGCAGGAAACTTTGACTGCATTATTCACCTGCATTGTTTTGTTGACTTACAAGCTTTATTTGCGCTGCTTGTCAGTGTTCACAATGTCAGTGTTCACAACATCCGAAAATACTGCACTACATACAGTATAGTTACTTGAAGAAAAAAAATCACACACACTACGTCAAAATGCATCAATATCAACATCAATTTCTTAAGAATATCAAATACATTACAATACACGACGGCCATTACAGGATATGAAAATTAAAATACACGGTGTTCATCCAGTTCCTAGAAATTGTTTAACCCTTGGGGGATGGTGAAGGGTTCCTTTCCATCCCAAGGCTGAGTAGTTGGGATTTGGGTGGAAGTTTCACTTAAAATGCCTGGGTTGGGAAGGCCTAAGTTGGGAAAATTTTGAGGTAGAGAATACTCAGTCTATTGTCTTGAAAAATTTCAAATATTATGCCTATGCTAGGAATGCAGAAAAAATAGCATCCAGCTAGGAATTTTTTACATGCAAAATTTTCAGCAGGATTACAAACAAATCTTTATATTTTCCCAACTGAGGTCTTGGTTCAAAAGTGAAAATTCTTTCCAGTGTTCATGGGCTCAAAATTTGTTAAGAGTTTCCTAACTTTTTTGCCCAAAGGTTAGCTAATTAAACAATTTTTGAAGTTTATTTGAGGAAAATCATATAGAGCTATAACACTTCATCCTGGTAATATAGGATTTATGAAAGGCTTTTGGCGTTCAAGGCTCTAGAAAATTGTCAGCCCGAATTTCGAGGAAAATATTTGTAATGTGGTATTCATTATTCTAATGATTTTCGAGAGAAGATAATTTTTTCTCTCAGGTTATTTTCATGCCGCAATTTTTAATAATAATAATAAAAGGTCGCGTTTAGTAATGCGTTGGCAGATTGTTTCTTTGGCTGGCTTCTTTAGCCTTCGGGACTAAGTCGTCAAAGGTATAACTAACCTTTGAAAGACTGCCTGTCTTGGGTGCGACAACGAATGTTGTACTTGTATCTGAAGAAAAAAGGGGAAGCCTTGATGGAGGCTTTGGATTTTTTTTGTATCCGATAGTATTTGCTGCTCGACAAGGATTTTTGTGCGGAAAAATGTCGTCGGGAAATCCGAGGAGATGATGCGTGTGGTTTTCTCTTCGGGAAAATATGTCAATGGTACATAGTTTTTTGTCTCGCCCTTTGTGATGATGCCTTTGCTGCGTTAAACTTTCTTCTTCTTCCTTTCATTTGCCCTTTTTTCCCTTTCTTTCTTCTTTGAACGCTGTATGCTTATAAACGTGCTGGGAACAGACTTTCTTTCTAGAGGACTAAAACTGTTGTGATTCGTCGGATGATCGACGCTTCAATGATGTCATAAAAGTCCATTTTTGCCGTCGTTTCCATTCCTTGGAATCCGAAATTTTTGCTAAAGTAAAAAAGTAAAATGGCAACACGATTAACAACACTTTACAAACACTTGAGAATGTTCCATGTCATAATCTTTGTACAAGTCGGTACAGACGTGTTATGACATTATACTATTTGATTATTAGCTTAAAAACGAAAGGCATACTATGCGTATACGTACTGTACATGGCAAAGGAAACCTTTGAAGTTAATTTTTAGCACAAGACAGAGACTGTATTTCAGTGCAGTATCGTTCTCTTTTCTTTTTGCAGTATAGACATTATTGGGCAAATGCCTCCTGCAGTTACTCCTTAGCGCAATGAAGCATAGAAACTCTGCAAGAATTTATTAATTTATTTTAAAAAGCGATGTCTTGCTGGAACTTTGGAATAATTCTGTCAAAAAATAAAACGATAGCCGAAAAATGGGACAAGGATGTTTCCAATTGCATTGCAATCTCAAAAAATGAACCTTTAATCATGTCACTTTGTGTGAAATGAGTAATTATAATGACGGGATGAGGCACAAGACGCTGTTTCTGACATCAGAAGTATAATGGCATAGCGGAAAGTCCAGAATATTGTGCATTTCATTTCTGTTGGGAAGTGTGTGCTAATTTCAATATCAGATCAAAGTGTCAATCTCTGTCGCCATGCTGAATTGCTGACCACGTACCACAATATCTTTGATTTCCACTTCTTAGCCGATAAGAAAGCTCCAAGAATATATCATTCACGCCTGAGGTAATTTTAATGTCATTCTAAAACAAATCCGAAATTTTTTGGATTGATTAGAGTAGCTTTCTTTTAATTTTTGAATCTCGAACTTGAGTGCGTCAACTGTTGAGTAATTGTCTTTTATGTGGCTAAATCAATTTGAAAATTGTTTAGATAGAGATCCTGTGGACACCTTTCACCTATTTTAATATTTATATCCTGCCCCAGCCTTATTATTTATTCAAATCATTTTAGAAAACCATTTACAAGAGAAAGAATTTTTTGCAGCCGCTTGAATTTTTGAATCTTGAACTTGCGTGCGTTAACTGTTGGCAAGAACTTTTATAATCATAAGAAGGGAACATATAGCAAAGAAATGTTGAATTCACGATTTGAATGATCCAACCAATAAATCCAGTGCTATTTTTGATTTTTCACCAGTTGCAGACTCTTGGGAAACAGTTTATTTTACTTTTTATTTTGAAGAAAAGGGTATTTTGTGAGATTCTAAAATAAATTGGAAGTATGCTTCCTGAAGACACTAAACCAAATACTAAAATTTATTTTCAAAGTCACATCTCACGCAATGGCAAGAAAGGCAATAAACGAAAAGTGTCACAAAGTGAAATTCTTGTTTGATAAAACTATCGCTGCTAAATAAATAAAAACAATTGTTCGGGTTTTAGAACCAATTTTCTCCATGTAGAAACCCAGCATTCTGATATGCTGGTACGTTTCTTCCATAAAAGTACCTCACTACAGTATAGTTTCAAGATTTTAAGTACGTATACTTTCAATCTGTTCAGATGGTCCTTTTATAAGATTTTGGCAGCGAAATAACGCATGACGTGATGACGATGTGAATGGATATTCTTTTCCGCAAAACTTGATTACTTATCTGAAGACTACAGTTTTAATAAAATTATGAAATCTTTTCGGTCGGTATAAAGTTACAGCATTCCTTGTAGAGAATTTAGCTTCCATAAGGCCACGAGCTAATTTCGAGTGGCTGTGATTTTCATTCCATCATTCATGCAGTAAAAAAAGTCAAAATAAATATCGTTGCAACGCAGCCACTGAAACCAGTAAAATGGCTTCGTTATAACTAAAAATCCGTTATAAAGAAACTTGAATAATATTATTGTGACTATTACTGGGCAGGGACTAGAACAACAAATTTGCTTGAAGCGATTATTTGATATATTATACAGTAGCGAGATTCGTTGTAACGATCGAGATTCTAAAGTGTATATAACATGAGCCATTCCATAATTTCTCTCAAATTGCTCCAACGTGGTCTTCGACGTTCTTATATACAGCCAGCCATCAGAGAGGTGAATAAATCTAAACACCGTATAAAAAAGCACTCATTTTATTTCCACCAAAACGAATATCGATCAAAACAGGGCTCTTTCAAAAACAGAACAAATGAAGATTTCTCCGGAACGTTGATCCGGTTCGAGACAATAGATTCCTCCTCCT